TGGGTTGGTTGTGTATAACAAAATAGTTTTTAGTAGATTACATCGTTATTGCAAAAGAACTATGCAGTGACATATGTTCCCATCTCGAACCTCCGAGATTGCATTTGAAAGCGTATTTTCCTAATTGTAAATATAATGAATTTTCACGGGTTATTGATGCTTTTCAATGCGGTTTTTGAAAATAACAAACTATCACTGAATAAAAGAAAAAGTTAAACTTTCTAATAACACCAGACTTGAAATGAAATGCTATGCAGAAGGTATGATGAATTTCTGGACATCATTATCAGTGCAAACAGAATGCAGTCCACTGAGCAATGGTGGATTAAAAATTATTATTCGTTTTAATCTACGTATCTGTATAGGAAAGTACCGAACTCGACTTAATATATGCGCCTATCTTAGTATACACCAAACATATAGATCATCTGTGCAAGAATCATCAGGTTCCTCCATGTCATTAACCTTGAGTACCAACATTTATTAATTTTTAGTTAATAAATAAAGATAATCCAAACTCTACGCGCCTTTAATTATTAAAAACAAATATTATTCACATTGTAATGCAGGGCTGTCCAGCTGCCGGCTCGCGGACCGTATACGGCCCGAAATTATTTTTACGGCCCGCGAGTACTATGAGTAAATTTCTGTTACTAAATTATTATTGTTATTAATATTAAAATTATTTTATTATGCGAAAATTTAAATCTAATTTGAATTTAAAGTAGGTACTATTTAGTTTTCGTAACTTCACTTAACCTGGCTGAATACAGCAGCAATCCGTTTAACGTCTGATGATAGTTGCCTCAACGTTGGCGCCACATATTATATTTGTGGTTGGTTGTTATTTATCTATGGTTAGCGCACGTGATGCGCACACTACCCTGCGCTATTTTGGTTGATTCATGCAATCGTGCGAGTGCAGACTTTTGTCTAGAATTTGTTGAGGGGTTGACTGTTTTATAATATTATTAATTTTAATTTCATTATTTTCGTATTTATTTATTAAAATAGTTTATTGAATATGAGTGCTACTAATAAAAGAAAAATAGACCTCGAAAAATGTTCTCATTAATATATATTACGAATATTTTAAAGTTTTCTTTTTAGTATAAATAAAATATTTTTTAATTAACATAAAGTGATTTTCATTTATCAACCTTCTTGGCCTCCGAAATGTTTGGTGAAGAAAATATGGCCCGCGGGCTATGAAAAGTTGGACAGCGCTGTTGTAAGGTATTTCCTCATTCTTTTCTGCATGCCTCGTGGTGTAACGGTAGCACATTCAGTGCGTATTCGAGAGGTCCAGCTTCGCGTCCCTGCGAGTTCATTTTTCACGTCTCCAGCATCAAAATAATCTAATAACTCTACAGTAGCGCCCGGACTAAAAGGTAGTGAATGATGAATCTCTACCACTAGGATTTGGCGACTGAATCCCCAGTCGCTCTCTGCTTTCTGCATGCTTCGTGGTGCAACGGTAGCACATCCGGAGCGTATTCGAGAGGTCCAGGTTCCAAGACCGGCGAGGGCATTGCTCATTTTTCATATCTTTTGCTTCAAAATAACCTAATGACTCTACAGCATTTCTTCTGTTGATTTAATTAATTAATATCAATGTCACGTAAAATGAATTTTATTCATTATATATTCAAAATATAAGTACATTAGTAGTGACATATGTTAGAAAAATTACTTTTGAAGGGATTTTTAAGGTGGTTCTTAGCATGTTCTATATTATAAATGTGGTTCCTACTTGAAACAAGTTTGAGAAATGCTGACTTAAATTAAACAGCTTTTCTCGTTATAAAATGCAATATCATTTTTAAACTACTTGAAATACTTCTTTATACTCAAAAATTATTTTATTGCTTTTAAAATAGTATAAGTAACCAATTACAGATCTTGGAAAATTTATTTGCAATTTTTCAGTTTTCCAGAATTATAACATGCGGCTTTTACTAGCATGGAGGTCCGTATGCAAGAGAAACACATTAATATAAAATGTAAAACTATTCCAAAATAATTACAGATTAAAGTAGATTTTAAATAAAATTCAATTGATTTCGAGGAGAAACTGTTGTGTTTTCTCCATTCCATATCGAAATCCATAGCATTTTATTACAAAATTACACCAGATTTCGGTTTTTTATTTCCCGCTAACCTATATACACAGGCAAGGAAGGTAAGTTTTCCGTTCCGAAAATTCGACAGTGAGTCTTCAGAGAATAAGCACGAATCGGAGTCCCCACAGTACGTTTCAATTACTTTTACAATGATGTCTCTCTGTCTATTAGTCTGCCCACCAGCGGCCGAGCGGTAACTTCGCTGAACACTGGTAGTTCAGTCCGAGGTTCGAATCCCACGAACGGGCTGGCTGGATGGGTGTTTTCGTGGTTTTCCCCATGTGTAACGTGTATACGAGCCAGTTTCCCTTAAAACGTCCTCCACGAAGGCATCCCTCCCTTAAGGCAGATAACCCTCGAGTGCTTTCCCGTAATCTAATAAACCAAACCAAACTGTCTATTAGTCTGCATGCGTATGATGATATTTTCGTTAACAATAACTTTTACGTAAAACTTCAAAAAAGTTTTTTTTCATATTTAAGCTTTCTACAGTCATCTAAAGAGTTAATTAGATTTTAAAAACAGGGTAAAACAGGACAACGAAATGTAGTACACGAAACCTATAAGTTTTTATGTCCTACTGGTAGTAGCCCATAACAGGTAATTGAAGGAGTTAAAACAACAAGAATCAGAGTAATATTCATCAGTTTAAAGGTCTAGTTTCTAAGATTTAAATATAGAGCCTCCTTCTTGAGCTGCAGAAGTGCGAATGACGAAAAAGAAGGCAGTGATGAAATTAGGCGATACGAATGAGAAGAAGATAATCAAGATACTGGCGCCACCAAATCGATAAAAAGACGAAAATAACTATGAGATAATTTATTTAAAACTAAATCATGGTTTGTTTAAACTCTTTTTTTTTCTTCTAAGGTAAATATGAATTGAAATTGGAATCGTTAACTAGAACTGAAAAATTTAAGAAGAAAATTAATTTGTGGTATACGTTTTTTAAATTATACTATGAAGATTAATTTGTTTTAATTAAAATCCAGTTATATTATATGTTATTAAACTGCCCAAATACAAATTTTAGTAAAAGAAATGGAAGGACAAACATTTTATTACGTTGGTATAAACTTAAGAAAATGAGATTTTACACATGGTCAATTATATTTAATAAAATGTAATCCCAACTTTCTTATTACAGATCTTCTTATTTATTGGAATAAAAAATTAGACTTTGTTTATAAATGATCAACCGGAAGTGATACTTTACTTGAAGCTCGTTGCCATTTAAAACATGGAACTGAGTGAAGGTTATAATCTGAACATATAGGATTTTAGTAAATATATTTATTTTATTTTGGAGGAAGCTAATTTTACAAAACTTAAATACGCTTCCAACCTTTTATTTATTACATTTTAAAACATTTGATACACTATTTTCATAAATCATAATGTTCATAAAGCGTTAATTTCAGTGCGAACGATTTAATTTATGTTTCCATTTATTAGTTATTCCTTCATAAAATTTGACTTGCTTTCATAGCACAAAGAAATATCAAATTCCTAACAGACGTCTGGATTATTGCTATGTCTGAACAGAAATACAAAGTGTTACAAAGGTTTTAAAGCAAATTGTGTTATGAAGGTTTTTAAGCAAATTAAATGAGGACACTGAATATAAATGTATAACTTGTACTCATAAACTTTGCCACCTACTTGTGCTGAGATAACTTAAAGAAATAGTAATCTATTTAGAATTAAATTAAGTCTAATAGCCAGGGGCTACACAAAGAATTTAACGTGAAATTAGTTAACTTCTCACCGGGGAAACAATTTAAATATCGGCAACATAATGCAAAGCCGAATAGGCCCCTACGCAATACAGTCTTATCTGAGCTAGCTAACTTAGTAACTTGGCCTCGAGAGGCATAAAATGCTCTGAATTAAACTCCCGAAACTAAATACTATCTCAGTGTACCCCATTTATATTCCGATAGGGAAACGGAAACGAGTAAAGATCGAGTAAGTAAACGAGTAAAGATCGAGTAAGTAAACGAGTAAAGAGGTGACAGTAAAGATCCAAAACCTAAAGTAACTGGTTTGTGAAGAATAAAAGTAATAAACCTAAGCCTTACTTAAAATTTTATTATTTATTCATTATTCTTATAGTGTCTCACATTTTTTATCGAGCAGTGGTGTTTTCCAATTTTATTCGTAAATGTCAGATGTGAAATGCACTGGTAGACAATTGCTAAGGACGAATGAATGACAGTATCAGCAATAGCAACCACAAAATGGAAGACAGGAAAATGTAAAAACTAACATAAGTGCGAATACAGTAAGATGTGTTGTGCGTATACCAATTTTGGATTCCGAAGCTGTTCGTCACGAGATAGTGCTAATAAGAGATATCAAGGATTTGACGCATACTGACCGTTGTTGTTCAAAAGCAAACTTTAACAGGAACGAATCAATTGACAAACTTGCAATTTTCAGTATATCTTCCGGACATCACGTAGATGATTTTACATGGTTGGAACATTATTCTGAAACAATGAATACCGTATAGAAATGTCATATAGAAATGGCTATGAAATTATAAATCGAGCTGATATATTCGGAAGCTGAGGCGACAGGGAGAAACTGGTTAATTAAAAATGCAACTAGTCGAGAAAAGTCAATTTTCATTTCGAATTCTATGTTTCGGCATTTATTTTGACTCAACAAAATTTCGACACTGCATTTTTCAGACAAAAAAAAGTAACTAGTGCTTTCTACCGCGCAACACAGAACTGAGTAAGAGAATGCTGACATTATTACTTCTATTTAGTTTAATTTGTGATTAATACACCAGTTTTTGTTTCTAATAGTTATAAATTTTATTTTTCAACCAAATATTATAGTATTAAAAGCAGTAAGAAATATTATTACCTCTACAGACAACGTTTTGTACAAATCACCTGCGTTTTCAAAACTTTTGACTTTTCTTCCACTGTGATCAGCCCAAAACTCGTAGTAAAACTGAAAGAAAAAAAAAATTGGGAAAAGCTCAAATTATTTCTTATATATATGTGTGTGTGTGTTTATGAGCGTTAATGTTCACATTATCTAGCTAATCTGCAGATTAACTGATTTGCTTCATTAGAGAGCAGAATCAAGAGTTTTTCGCACTTTACCTAGGTAATGTGCACATTAACGGCATCTCTATCGTTAAAGTTCCAAAGTTTCTTTCCCTCTCCGTCCTTGATTGTATTAACTTGATTTTTTAGATATCGAAAAATAAATAAATCACATTATGTCAGTTTTCTTATTTGTAATAATATTTTAAACCGTTTTTTTCTTTTCATTACAGTTTATTAACTGATTGATGGTTGATTCTATCAACTAATTTGTTGATTATTCGATGAATTACAGCTTGATTTTTTAGATATCGTAAATAAAATTATGTTCATTTAAGCGTTTTGAAACGTTGCTATTGCTCCAGCAAAAATCTTATTTTCACTTTAACAAGTGCCTAGTATGTGACGTATCTATGTAATATGCAGATTACATAGGTAATTTGAGAAAAGAAAGAATTTGCCGCACTTTAACAGATCACCCAAGTTAATCTACAGATTAACTAGGGTGATCATCAGATTAGCTAGATAATCTTCAGAATAAGGGATTTCCGCATATACATATATATATCTATATATGCATGCATGTATCTGTGTATAAATATATACATGTCATTTGGTGATTTGGGAATAGCTGTAATAAACTTGTGGCGGTTTGTTGCATTTTTATGACTTAGAGATTCTTTACTACGTGGATAAAAGAATGGCGTGTGAAGGCGGAACTGACAATAGATTCAAAATTTAATTTTTATTTCTTATATATATATAAGAAATAAAAATTATTCATATAACTCTTATATGCATATAATTCCTTAGATGCAATATTTACTTCACAATCACAGCGGATACAATATGTTGCCCACAATTTTGAAAGCTTAGCCCATCTACAGCCAATAGAAGACAGCGGCGGTGTATGTTAGCAAAAGCGAAGATAAACCGTAAATTTTTATAATTAGTAATAATATTAATTATTAATAACAAGATTTATAATTGAAATTGTCTTATTTCTCCGCGCAATGCAACGCGTGATAAATTTTAAGTGAAAACTACGTGGAAAAAATAAAAATATAAGAGCACGTCATTTAACATTGAATAAATCGATACCTCTTTTACTTATATTGAAATTGAATAAATGTAATTGACTATTGTGGTAGCTATATCCGTAATTCCATCTTCTTGTTAGTTTCCATGAAGAAATTACCAGAAGTCTCTTGCGACCGTTTGACAGCTTTATAAGAAAGCCAAAGAGAGACAGACATCTCAGCTCAGTCGTTTAGTTAGCTGTAGTTGTTACTGTTGATCGGATTAGATTTCTCTGTGCTGTGCTTTGCGTTCTGTTTGACGTTTTTATTAGTTTAATGTACAACTACTGATTATTACTGCCTGATAATGTGAAGTGTTGTAAAAATATTTCTGAGAAAAATTTCAGCGTTCTGTTATATTTCTTTTAATAAGAATAAACTTTATTAACCTTTTATCAGACTTGTGCATTCAGTTTGATACGAACCCGTACGCACGCAACTGTATTAAATTAATTGATTCACCTTAATTTTTTCCAGTATAAGGTATATTGCCTTTTTAATATTTAATATTTAATATTGTATTTTTTTTCCATTTTAAGCTATAAATCCTCCATTTCTGTATATGTTTTTTTCTCGCTTTTCTGCACGGATCAGAAATGTTGCTTTGTTGAAAATTCTCCGACTGCTCCTGAAAAAGACCAAGAAGTTTACAACAATTCCTTATATTATTTTTATAACGTTAACTTATTGTTATTATGTAATTGATATTTATGTTATTTTAATTTCAATAAAATAATTTCATTATTTTATTGACTTGTTTTGCTTTTATCTTTGTTTCAATTTTAATATGTTTACTTCTTGTTAGACTGTTAACCCCTTTCTTGATTAAATTCTTAATTTAATTCTTATCTCTCGATTTTATTTCTACATCAACATGTATTTCTCTCTATCTATATATGTATACCGGCATCATGTCCATAGTCCTAACACGGACTTTATTTTCGCAACCGTTAGTCGCCGACATATACTTCTAGTTACAAAAATTATTCAAATTACGGTAACCAGAAGGAATTCACTTTTGTAGGAGGATTACGTGCGTAGATCAATAACGTCGACGTATTCTTTTCTGTTTTAAAAGTAGTTGCATTTAAAATTTATAGAACAAGAAATGGTGTGAAAAATAAATGTTGTTTTTTAAAAAGTGTCATCTCAGTTTAATGGACGTGGTAATATTTTCTTAAGCAACAAATTTTGCATCCCTGTATCGGGACGAATGTCACAGTGACATCAAAATCGACACTTGAATTATTTGGATAATTTAAGAAAATAAGTGAAACGTGCTTACATACAAACATGGGCGACTTGAGGATAACAAAACAAATATGGAAAGCTGTTAGAAGCGCATTTACGAAAACAGCTAATAATTTGGAAGAGCGGATTCGATCAGATTTTCCGGACTTAGATGATTTAGAAATTTGTTTAGGTCAAATTTTCCAAAAGTATAAAATTTTACGAAATACTGATGACCCCTTTTTTGGAACTTCTACAGAAAAAAGGCTATACCCAAGAAGAATAAGAAAGATAATTCAGTGCAGCTCAAGAATATTACGACAAATCATTTACATCAAAAGTAAAAGTTGAACGGAAAAAAATATAAGTGTTCACAGCCATGTTCAATATAAGTGTTCGCATGCGTAACTAATAGCGATACTCCATCAGTAATTCTTACAACTGCAAAGCAGAAACTTCCGAAAATCGAGCTGGTGAGATTTGATGGGAACTCTTGAAACTGTCTAAGGTTTTGGACGAGATTTAGATGAGATACGTGAGTTGAAGATACGAGCATCGACAAGAGAGACAAGTTTTATTAACTGTTCCAATCAACAAAATTTTAGACAGAGTGGAGAGTTTAGCAACAGTGGAGAGTTTTCCAGCTGTAGAGGAAAATTACGGGAAAGCTGTGGAATACTCAGAGCCGGATTTAGACTTTATAAGGCCCTAAGCTATTTGAGATATGGGGCCCTTTATAAAACTTTTGTATTATATTTATACAATATTTTAGTTTTTTTGGGAGCCCCCCAAAACGTGGGAGGCCCTACGCTATAGCTTGTGTAGTTTATACATAAATCCTCAAAGAAAGATTTGGAAACGAAAACTTTTTAATTCAGATTTATATCAGAAAGCTATTAAAACTGGTAATCAGTGACAAACAGAAAACGGACTTATTAATTCTTTATGACAAGCCGCAAACTCAACTACGCGCATTGGAATCCCTCGGTTTTAACTTAAGACCAATTTGCATGTGTTTTATTTCCGCTAGTGGAATTTATTTCCTCTTCCTGCCGATTTAATCAAAAGTACGGAAAGACAACGAAGTAAGTCTACTGAAACGACAGGCAAGAGTGATTTAGATTCATTAAACTGATTTTCTAAAAAAGGAAGTGGAAATTGAATTAAGAGTCAAATATACTCGTAATATTTTAGGTTTTGAAAAAGTAATAAGAAAAATAAGTTTTTTGAGACAAACTCTGTTGTTTCAACTGCATGTGAGCTAATTAATACAAATAGAAGTAATTGTAAATGTAATGAAAAATTTCAAATGCATAAAAAACTTTATTCTTGTATTTTTTGTGAAAGATCACGTATGTCTAAAAATTGCAAACATGCAGCTTCAATTAGTTTAGAATGTAAAAACAATATCAATAAGTAAAATAATGTTTGTTTTGTGTGTCTTAAGAGAAATCATACAGCAAATCAGTGTAGGTCTAAATACAGGTGTCCTTATGTAAAAACCGATATTCGGTGATTATATGTTCTGATTTGCCTTCTGATAAAATAAATAACGTCACAAAGTCAGAAAATCATGAAAACAAAACAAGTGCTGTTAATAATCATGTTAAAATATCAGATGTATATCAACAAACTTTAGTTGTAAAAATTCGGAATGGTTTGTCTGAGCAATTTATGATAGTGGCCGCTATGAAATCATATATGTGCAATGGTGTTGCCCAGAAGTTAAATTGTAAGTGGATTGGTAAATCGAACAATATAGATAAGTGTGAATTAGAGGTACTTAGTCAAAACTAAATTTGTTCTAAAATTAAACAATTCCCATCTGGTTCATGGTTACGCGAACTTAAGTAACGTAGTATCAAAATAAATGATTTAGAAAATGGTCCATATAACGTTGATAAAGAGAAAAATTTTTAAGTGGTGCTGATTCTGCTGGTAAGTTGCTAACTGGAAGAATTGTACCTCTTACGTGCGGCGTGTGGAAAAATCCCCCAAATGATTTAGATATCGCCGTTAGAGGGCGCTTCGCTTCTGAAAAGGAATGTTAGTTTTTAGTTTGCGACGTAGTTAGTGAGCAGTGAACCTTCGATGCAATCCAGGTTGCTTTGTAAATAAAATGATTATTTTTGTAGATTGTTGAAGTATTTCACTTCATTTAGAATTAGAACCACCTTTCGCAATATGGCGCATCGGTGCCGAGAACCTTTGGCCAATTTAGAAGTTTGTGTTTTTTAATTTTGGATATCATTTTATGCGAAGACAGCCAAGGTAAGCCTGTATTTTCTATTTTTATATAATATGGAAGATCTTATTGCTAAACTGAAATCGAAACGAAAGGTATTGAGGACCGGAGTGTCCAAGATATTAAAGAAAATTGAAACCGAACTGAATAAAGATGATAGTAGTATAAATGTAAATGTATTAGAAGAAATTTTAGACCAGTTAAACGAAAAATCAAAATCCTTGAGCAATTTAGACGCTGAAATAGAACGAGAATTAAAAGTCGAAGAAGACGAATTTGAACTTGAAATCTCATCCGCTTTGGAATATGAAGAGAAAATTCAAGTGTGGCAGTTTAGAGGAAAGAAAA